TAAGTCTAACATCGTGGTTAACGACACAAGGTTAATATCATACAAAACGGACATCGGTTCTTTCGTGGTTCTCTCTCGTAATAATAACTACCCATACAGCAAAACAAGTTTCAGAAAGTGTTAAGCAATCAGTTTTCATTTCCTTTTATGATATCGTCATTGGCTATTTTGTATGTGCCGCCATGCGTTATTCAATATTTTAGTTACGTGGCCATTCTATGTTGCGTTTTATGTTTAAGTCGCCATCTAGTTTAAGGCTAAGAGTTGTTAACGGACCACGAGGAGAAGAAATCATATCGCTGTAACGCATAGAATAAAGCGGACGTACTCACACACCAACATCCGTTCCACGATTCATTATTCATAAAAATCCAAGCCATTTACTGGAAAATAAGTTGCGAGCACACACGAGAGCAACCAATTTGGTCCTTCGAGCCGGATATATTCACGGCACAAGCAGCATAACCTCAATCCTACGCACGGTTCCTTCAACACGACAAAGGAATCGAGAAGCAGACCGGAAACGGCGATCGAAAGGAAGGTGCTTCCACGAACATCGCAAGCTCAGCGTCTCTTCGCACACTGCGAATAGCACTCAACTGTAGGCGCAATCACACAAATTGTAAGATTAAACCAATTTCAAGCGAAATAAAGGTAACATCTCGATCACATTCACATTGAATACAACGAGCGCAAGCTTAAACATACTATACAATACAGCGTTTATTAAGAATTGTCTAATTCATAATGTCTGAGCAAATATTAAGAAAGAAAAGAAGCCACATCAAGGCGAGACTAACTCGATTCGTCAACTTTCTCAATGATTGTGAAAACGATCCACAGAAAAAACCGGAAATACCGTCTCGCCTAGAAAAGGCAGACTTGATATGAGGGGAATTCGACGCGATACAAACCGAGTTAGAGAACCTTGACGAGGCTGAAATTAACAACGAAGAACGCGATGCCTTTGAGAGTAAGTTCCATCAAGCAGTCATTAAAGCAAGAAGCATGATTGCACCACCCCCAGTGTCGCGCGCGAATAATCGTCCTGAACAGCCGCCGATCAACATAATACAATCAAATAAATTACGACTTCCTACCATTGAAATTCCGAAATTTGACGGTAGTTGGGAAAAATGGCTGCCATTCCGGGATACCTTTTCATCCATGTTACATGGCAATGATACATTACCTCATATTGATAAGCTTCACTATTTGAGATGGGCCTTAGTGGGAGATGCGCATAAACTCATCGAGTCCTTAGAAGTAATAGGCGACAATTATCTAATTGCATGGGAAATCATAAATGATCGATATAAGGGTAACAAGGCAATCGTTCAGCATCACGTACGGGCTCTAATTAACCTTCCGAATCTCTCAAAGGAATCATATTCTTCACTCAGACAATTAGTTGATATGACACAACAGCATACACGCACTTTAACCCGTTTAGGACAACCTACAGAAAGCTGGGATACATTGCTCATACAATTACTCCTACCAAAATTGGATGGCAACACCAGAAGAGAATGGGAATCCGAAAGAGCGAATAAGGAGGACCTTCCCGACATGGAGGAGTTCATTTCATTTCTGGAAACAAGATGCTCATTTCTGGAGGCCTTATCTCGTACTAGTACTCTTATTGTTAGTATAGCAAAGAACGCGGGTGGCCATTCGAAGCATCAGTCCAACAAGCCTTCCAATCAAATGCAAGCCCACGTTACCACGGAAACTACTACTTGTCCTGTCTGTCAAAATACACATAAGATTTACAGCTGCCTTATATTTCGCGACATGTCAGTACAAGCTCGAGTAGAAAGGATTAAGAGCCTTAAGTTATGCTACAATTGCTTGAAGCCATTTCACGGAAAAAAATGTACTTACGGATCATGTAAAAAATGTAACAAGTATCACAATACATTGATTCACGCGGATAGGACTGATGATTCGAATGAGACCACTTCGATAACGAAAAAAAATATTGCTGCTACGGGGCAAAACGTTCCATTGTCGGAGGAGGGGCAGAAAGCGAGCGAACTCAATGTAGGCAATACACAAAACGTGACTAATGTGCTAGCGTCTCACCATAACCGCGATGCCTCATGCGTCTTACTATCTACAGCAATAATTTATATGCGGGACAACACCGGAAAAATACATGAATGCAGAGCACTACTGGATTCCGGAGCACAACCGAACTTCATAACGCGGGAATTAGGCGAGCGTCTAAAACAACCTCTATACAATACGGACACTAAAATCACTGGAATCACTATGAACTCATCCATAGTAGGACAACAAACCGACGCCACCATCTATTCAAGATTCAACAAGTTTGAAACGAGGCTGTCATTCCTAGTGGTCGACAACATCACCGACAAAATACCGGCAACGAGCATCGGTGTAGATTCCTTGCAAATACCCAAGAATATCAAACTCGCAGATCCCCGATTTCACATACCTGGCAAGGTGGACTTGCTCCTAGGTTCCGAAATCTTTTGGAAATAATTATGTGTCGGGCAGATACAATTAAGCAGGTCTCAGCCTGTCTTCCAAAAAACCAAATTAGGTTGGGTAATAGCCGGGAGAGTCGCGAACCCCCAACAAGCCGTAAACGCGGCACAATGCCACATCGCCCAGCAGTCTACATTACAAGGTCAACTTGAAAAATTCTGGAAAATTGAAGAACTCGATTCCAGAACTCATTTAACTGAACAAGAACAAGCTTGTGAAGAGCACTTCTACCAGACGCATACGCGCGACCGTCAAGGAAGATTTGTCGTAAGGATGCCTCTCAAGGACAACTACGTACAATTAGGCGACTCTTACGACACTGCCAAAAGGAGATTATTAACATTGGAAAGGAAATTGGCAAAACAATTACCACTGAAACAGCAATACGACGCCTTCATGCATGAATATCTTAAGCTGGAACACATGAAGATCCTATCAAGGACGGACAGCGAGCTACAGCAACCAAGGTCACACGAAATCACTTACTATCTACCACACCATGCTGTAATGAAAGAAGGGAGTGAAACCACAAGGTTGCGAGTTGTTTTTGATGCATCAGCCAAAACAAGTACAGGACTTTCGCTCAATGATGTGCAACTAGTAGGGCCTACTATCCAGCAAGATTTATTCAGCATCATGATGCGTTTCCGTCAACATACCTACGCAATTTCCGCCGACATCTCAAAGATGTATAGGCAGATACGAATGCATCAAGATCAATGTAAACTACAGCGCATTTTATGACGATTTAGTACAGAACAGGAGATTGATACGTATGAACTACAAACCGTTACGTATGGAGAAGCTTGCTCGGCATTCTTAGCAACTCGTGCACTACATCAAGCAGCACTAGATTTACAACAACGATATCCCGAAGCCGCTGAAATCATTATTCGCGACTTCTATGTGGACGATCTTCTGACGGGCGATAACGACATCGAGCGTCTAAGCCAGT